AGACAGACAATAATAATAAGTGTTGACAATGATGTATAGAAACAAGGCCAAGGACTTGGCTGGTGGGAATGTGTACAATGGTTCAGGGACATTGGAAAACAGTCTGGCAGCTCCTTAACATGTTACCAGACGACCCAGGAACTCCACTCCTATTATCCGAGGTATATTCGGTAGGCTTTGGGGTACCCCTACTTAGATATACGAGCCAAGAGAAATGAAAGCATGTCTGCAGAGAAGCTTGTACATGAATGCTCAGAGCAGCACTACCAGCAGTAGCCAAAGAGTGAAAACAACCCCAATGTCGGTCAACTGATGAATGGATAAACAACATGTGGTATAGCCACGACTGGGAATGTTACTCAACAATAAGAAGACAGGAAGTACTGACAGAGGCAACAACATGGACAAACCTCTTCCTAAGTCAAGAAACTGACACAAACGACCACGTGGTATATGGTTCCATTTGCTATGAGGTCTCAAAATCATTTGTGCACTTTAACTGGGTGTATATTTACAGTCAGTGAATTAGATCTCAGTAAAGCTGTTCAAAAACCTAGAATAAAAACACAGGACAAAAATAGTCCTATGTAAATTATCTGTAAATCTAGGATTTTTTAAATATTAAATCCTAAGATTATAGTATCAGGGGGAAAAAGACAGATAAGAAAGAAACTAACCTACTCAGTACTACTGAAACCTGGACGATGAGTGAGTTAAGAGAAGGAAAATGTCTGTGTGGAAATAAGGTAAGATAAAACTTAAGAGCAAGAGTTACCTTGTGTGTCTAGGGCCACCCCAGGCAGGGAGTGGCCTAACCAGACAGTCACCTATCTCATTTGTTGCCAGGTATATCCCTTTAGTAGCGATGAATTAATTATATGATCACACAATGATATTTACCATAAATATCATTTTACAAACTGCACTCACTCTGATTTCAAACTCATCACGCCTCTTTTCTAATTGTAAACTTCCCTACATACTTATCTGATAGGATTGTGGTGATCAGCTGATTCTGGTTCATTAGAAATTAGTAAATTAATCCCCAGGTTTAGATTCATCACTTATGATATTGGTTAGTATGAACCAATCCTTGTGAGACTTATGAACTTTGGCTGCTTTTAGCAAACCACTTCTCAGCCTACAAAGTTAATGACCAATGACTCTCAACCTGGGGACATTCCCAAAACAGGATTCCTAAGAGGTTAATCTACTGTATACTTCAGGCAGAGGTGGGGAGAATAACGTTCCCTAGCCTCTCCCACCTCGCCTGACAATCACTGCTAGATTAAGCCAGTCATGGATATACAGTGCCTGGTCTTGGGTAGGGTGGCATGCCCTGGACTGAGAGACAGACTTCCACCAAGATCCTACTGGCCTCTGAGGCCCAGACTGAGCAGCAACCTAGCCTTCCTCAGTGTACCTCATCTCAGGTCTAATTTCCATACTCTCAGATCCTCACTTTCTATTATCTGACCTCACTTTACAGATGAAATAGTGGGACCCACAGAGTTTAAGAATCTTACCTAAAATCACCCAGCTAATTAATGGCAGAGTCAGAATGGGAACCAGACTATTCCGGTTCCCAGCCCAGCCTTTCCGTTCATCCTGTAGTGCTGCCTTTGTTCCAGGCCATTTGAATGCTCAGCTTGTGTTTGTGGAAATTCCCTTACCCCCTCCTGAGCAACCTCCTTCTCTAGGCAGAGACCATGCTTCAGACCCTCACAGTATTCTCATAGGCTAGTTAATACCCGCATTTACACAGCAGGTCCCCAGATTTTTTTTTTAATTAAAAAAAAATTTCTAGGGGCACCTGGGTGGCTCAGTGGGTTAAAGCCTCTGCCTTCAGCTCAGGTCATGATCCCAGGGTCCTGGGATGGAGCCCCACGTCGGGCTCTCTGCTCCGCAGGGAGCCTGCTTCCTCCTCTCTCTCTCTCTCTGCCTGCCTCTCTGCCTACTTGTGATCTCTGTCAAATAAATAAATAAAATCTTTAAAAAAATTTTTTTTCTATAAAATTTTATATCTGTATATTCATTAACTGTCTCTGCAAGAGTACATTAGACATTAGTGACAGTCTCTGGGGGCGCGTGGGTGGCTCAGTCAGTTAAGTGTCTGGCTCCTGATTTCCACATAAGTCATAATCTCAGGGTCATGGGATCGAGCCCCACATCGGGCTCTGCACTAGGCATGGAGCCTGGAGCCTGCTTAAGATTCTCTCTCTCCCTCTTCCTCTGCCCTATACTCCTTCCCTCAAAAAAAACCACAAAAAACAAAAAAACAACTCTGCAGCACGTGGGTGGTTCAGTTGGTTAAGCGTCTCCCTTTGGCTCAGGTCATGATCTCAGGGTTCTGGGATCGAGTCCCTCACTGGGTTCCATGCTCAGTGGGAAGCCTGCTTCTCTCTCTGCCCGCCACTCCCCCTGCTTGTGCTCTCTCTCTCTCGCTCACTCACTCTCTCTCTCTGACAAATAAATAAATAAAACCTTAGCGGGGGGAAAAAGTTAGTGAGTCTCCAGTAAAGAACTAAGCCAAGGAGAGGAAGAGAGACTTTTCATAAAATATCTTTTGAGTATTATTGGAATCCTTACCATATGCTTTTATTGCCCATAAAAAAACATAAGTTTTAAAAATCTGTGCCATAAAAAGGCCTACAAAATCCCAACACGTATACCATAAACATATCGCACGTAGCACGCTCATTAAAAAGAATAAAAATTACCAAATATCTGAGCCACCTTTATTTTTTTCCAGCGTTAGAAAGGATTGTTTACTTCACACCCTCCACCTGACAACTTTACAGAGAATGTGTGCAGAACGCTAGATGGTTCTCTGTTTACAGGCAGCCCATCCTGTGGAGAACGGTGAGACCTATAATTGCTGAGAAGTTTGTTGCCATTTTCCTGCAAGGCTATGAAAAACTGGATTGGCTTAAAATGTCCCTCAGTCTCTTTTTAAAGATTTTATTTATTTTATTATTTTTAGAGAGAGAGTGCAGTAGGGGAAGAGGCAGAGAGAGAATCTCAAGCAGACTCCCTGCTGAGCGTGGAGCCTGACGCGGGGCTCGATCTCACAACCCTGAGATCATGACCTGAACTGAAATCAAGAGTTGGATGCTCAACCAACTGAGCCACCCAAGTGACCCTCCCTCAGTCTCTTTAAAGGAAGCCAGGAGGAGGGAGGCTATGGCTGCTATGTTACCCTCGGCAGTGGTTTCAAGGAAGTCTATCTATAAAAGCACTATGGCCAGGCTCCCCTGGGACGGGTCACCCATGCCAGGGTCTCCAGCCTTTGGAGCCCAAGCACCCTGGGGATCCCTAAGCCTGGAAGTGGATTTCATCACACACCAAGATGCACGTGCCAGGCTGGTGGGGGCTCCTGCTCCTCCTGGCATGAAGAGTGGGCTTTGCACACTGGACTGTGCAGGCATTTCTTCAGGGGCTCATGGACAGGCAAGGCCTTACCTGTATGTGTCACCTGGATGCAGGCAGAGCCTGGGGCGGCTAGGGCCCAGAGGGCTGGGTCCACAGGTCCCTGTCCACACTGGCCACTCCTCTGAGCCCCTCACAGAGAGGTGGGCTAGTGGGAGAAGCTGTGATTGTCATATGCCCAGCCGGGCAGCTCCAGAGGGCTACAAACTGGCCATGGCCACTGGTACTGTTACTTAGACCTTTCAGCCAACAGAGCTAGGCAGCTGGAGCCACACCTAAGCAGCTGCTCCTCTCCACAAACACATGAGGCGGGCCAGGGACCTGAGCAGGACGATGGAGGCCATCACAGCCACCTAGAAGCCAGAGGTGTCCTCTGGTGGCGCAGACTTGCACACAGGGGAGACCTGTATGCAACACTCCCCATCTAGGCGCAGGTGAGGAGGCTGGACCCCACCAGCTGGTGACTTGAGTGGCAGTGGAACGCAGTGACAGTCCCCACATTAGTGCCATCATCATGAAAGACTTCGAAGGTGCCATGCGGGGATGGCCACACATGAGCGTGAGCGCCAAAGCCTTCCCAGGGTGGACATGGCATTCCAACCTGCCACAGCCTCACCCTACAGAGGGTGTCCCTGTACCTCCCTGCCCACCAGGCACAGACCTCTCTCCCACCTTTAAAGCAACTTATTACACTACAAGTCCCATTAGTCATTCCAACATTAGCATAAATAAGACAAAACTTTAGAGGTATGTTTAGGCACCTACAGAGCCTAGACACTTTGATCCTATGTAGACAGACTCGAGCTATAGAACGTCCTGAATTAGGTAACATGCACATGAAACTGCAAATAAGAAAGCAAAAGATGTAGAGGTTCTAAGCTGACCAACAGTGACGATCACAGCAAATAACGACATACGACTGTTCATTTATTTCTTCCTTTGTTCAAATACTTAGGGAAGGATTAGTACGTGCCCAACCCTGTGCTAGGAACTTCTGATATAATGGTCATCATAAACAAACTTGGCTCCTGTTTTCACGGAGCTTAGCCTAGTGGAGGAAACAAACATAAACCAAATCATGAAAAACAGAATTAACGTGTAGCTGAAAATTGGGACCAGTGTTGTGAAGAAAATTGTGCTGTAAGCACTTGAGGTCTCTAAGCAGCCCAGCAGCATGTTCAGATCTGTATTTTAGAATTTAAAAAAAAATCTTGTACTTAACCAAAATTACAGTGCAGAGAGGTATGCAAGGCAGCAGGACCATTACTACATAAAATACAATGTTAACATTCTTCTAATTCTTAGGAAAGGTGCCAAGGAATTTTCAGTGATTAGAAATCCAAGGCCAGTTTTATGGCTGTGCTCCTGGAAGCACTTTGGTCTTGCCAGAGCCCAGGGCCTTGGTTTAGCAAATACAACCTCCAGACACCACTTAGTAACATCAAAGCCTTTTCCTTGCCTGCCCCCATTCCAGGACCCTGCCAAGACTTCAGAGTCCAGACTATCAGCATCACAGTCAGTACAGCTGGCCACTTGTTTCAAAACAGGAGGGAGACTCCTGATTTACTCACCTGATTATCTAGTTTCAGCTGTCGAAGCTTCATGGTCTCATCTTCAAAGGCACTGTTTAAAAAAAAAAAAAAAAAGAAGCATGTAAAGAGAAAATCCTGTTAAGATGATGTCAATTTCATCTTTTCCAAGTATCTACTCCTTTGGGCTGTTTGGAACCAACTGATTCTACGTTAGGGAAAGCATCCGTGTCTAGATGTTACCCACGCCGACTGCAGGACTTGCCATCCTTAATGCCACGCTTACTCCACAGAGGACCTCAGGAGACTGAAGTACCCAAAGAGTTAAAAAAAAAAACAAAAAAAACCCAGATGTGTGTGGCACGTGGGTGGCTCAGTCAGTTAAGTGTCTGACTCCTGATTTCAGCTCAGTCATGATCTCAGGTTGGTGAGATCAAGCCCCACGTGGGCTCCACACTGGCCAAGAGGCCTACTCAAGATTCTCTCCCCACCTCTACCAACCCCATCCCCCTCCCAAATAATTAAATAAATCTTTAAAAACAACCAAAAATAAATAAATAAATAAAAGGATGTAGGACACAGACCCCCATGCATGCAGGGATTTTTTTAAAAAACCATATGTTGAGTACTTACTATAGGCCAGACACAGTGAAGTATCTTATATGCATTATTTTATTAATTCCTCAAAACAACCCTCTGAATTGGGTACTATTATTTTTCATACTTTGAAGCTGGAGAAACAGACTTGGAGGGCCATGCATAAGGTTAAACAGCAGAAAGAGACTGTAATCCAGGTCTCTTTCCAGAGTTTAAAGTCCACATAAAATTGAAATACATTTTTCTTCTTTTTTGCAGCTAGTTCTAGGAAAGAATGAGAACTACAATGGGGCTCGGAGCAGGCTGCTCCCAAATATGTCAAAGTGGCACACTGATAATTCTGAAAGAAAGTTTACTTGAGAAACAACCAGTCCAAGCACATTCTGACCCTCCTCTCTTTCCCCTTGAAAGCAGGAAATAAATTTCCCATGTGACAGGTATCCTCCCTATACCAGGAGGTAAAGAAACATCCTTATCACCAGAGAGAGAGAATTCGAAGCCTAGAAGTCAGTGTACACTCACTCATTAGTACCCAAGACTAAGTTTCTTTGTCTTGTCAGTTCTTCACAAATTTATTGTTTCTGTTTCTAAAGGGTACATAAACCACCCACTTTGGTTATTTCTTAGGCCCATCTACAAGACCTCCATACCTACAAAATTAAATTTTTTTTTCTCCTGTTAATCTGTCTTATGTCAATTTAATTATGAGATCAGCCGGCAGAACCAAGATGGACAGGGTAAAAATCTCTTCTACCCCAACAACTATGTATAGTATCTTACTACAGCTCACTGATTCCCTTAAGATCTAGGAAAGTCATTTAATTTACTTTTCAAGTTTGCCATTAATAAAACATGATGCCAGTCATGCAAAGACACTCTAAGTATGGATGAACAGACAAGATTTAACACCACCAGGAAACAGATTTGTTTGATGGAAGAGAACAACGACGACAAAAATAGAATCAAATTACTGTCTCCAAATCCTTCTGAACTTTTCAAAAACTCTCTCAGAAGCTAGTTCTATTTTTTGAAAATTTTCTAATTTAAGATTTTATTTTGTGACTCAGCATTCTTGGAAAGAGTAAAGTATGAAACAAGGCAGAAATGTTTCTCAATTATTATTATTTGTAATAACTATGATTTGTATTACAAATTTTTACTGGGAGCTTACTGTCAGAAAAACTATAAATACAAGGTCCTTTTTAAGAAGACAGATTCCATGGCTACAAAAGGAAGCATGGCTTTTGCTGCATTTGAGGTAAAAAATACCAAAGCATCTATCCGTGACTTAATGGTTTACCACTCCCTTCACATATTTTAGAAGGTGCATTTTCAATAATGCGTAGCAACTTAGATACATACTGTCTCCAAGGCTCCTCCTGCCTACTAACCTGTAAGCAGATTTAATAACCCCTTAGACAAAAATATAGATGACATTCTGGTTCTCTGACAGTTCCCCTCTATTAATTTCTTTATAAACTACATGCTTAAAAAAAAAAGCTGGGTATTCAAAATAAATCATCTCCTTTTCCCAGTTCAAAGGACGGACAAACAGGGGTGCCTGGGTGGCTCAATCAGTTAAGCATTAGACTCTTGAGCTCAGCTTGGTCTTTTTTTTAAAGATTTTATTTATTCATTTGAGAGAGAGAGCATGAATGGGGCAAAGAGGGAGAGGGACAGGCAGACTCCTCGCTGAGCCAGGAGCCCAATGCGGGGCTCAATCCCAGGACCTGGAGATCATGACCTGAGCCGAAGGCAGACACTTAACCATCTGAGCCACCCAGGCACCCCTCAGCTCAGGTCTTGATCTCAGGGGCATGAGTTTGAGCCCTATACTGGGCTCTGCTCTGGGCGTGTAACCTACTTAAAAAAAAAAAAAAGGGAAAAATAAACAAATAAAAATGACAGATAGGATATAACCATGCCTTGACTCTGTGGGCTCCTAACCTTTCTCCTAGATATGTTCCTGTTTTCCTTGGTGTTTTTAATCCTCATTCACATATTTTAAAATCCTAGCTTTATGAATACAGTGCTAGAATATTATTAGTATTCAGTGGACATCAGTATAAATTTGAAAAAATTCTACATAAAACAACTAAGATGGGGCGCCTGGGTGACTCAGTTGCTTGAACATCTGACTCTTGGTTTGGGGTCAGGTCAAGATCTCATGGGTCGTGAGAACCTGTTAGCCTGCATCGGGGCTCTGCACTCAGTGGGGAATCTTACTGCAGATTCTCTCTCCCTCTCCTTTTGCCCCTCCCCCCGTACTCTCTTCCTAAAATAAATATAAAATAAAATAACCTTTTTCTTTTTAAAGAAAATGACCAAGACAAAAAATTATGAATATACCTATGTATAGGAAAAAATATGAACATACAGGTATGGGTAAGATAGAATAAAAATGCACTGTTATATATTAGTATTTTCAACAGTTACTGCTATGAATCTTGTTTTTCCTTTACCTCACTCTGCTTTCAATACTACATCACAATTGCAAAATCCCCTGGCATGGAAAAGAAATCATCCTATCCCACCACCTTAGCCCATAAACCATACACACACACATACACACACACACACACAATGTTAAAAACCTCAATCACGGTAAATTCTGACACACGACTGAAATCCTCAAACATTTCTCTTGAGGCCTCTAATAGTGAGGAAACCAGGTGTATCTTCAATGCCTATCTTGACACCACTTAATTCCTTTCATCAAGCCTGGACAAGCTGAACAGACAATTTAAACAAACAGGTTTTGTTTTGACCTGAACAAGAGAGTCACTAAAAAGATGCTACATCATTGTAACATGTAGATACCTACTATACATCAAAGCTACATTTTCTTTGAGCTCTAGCTTTCAATTATAATTTAGCAGAAATAATATATTTTATATATTTATATTAATCTAAACTAGAATTTCTAGTCTAACCTGGAAAATGATCTTACTAAATTTGCATTTCCCCCTTTAGTACTCTCTCCTTTCTTTCAAACAAAGTTGTTGAATAGCCAGCCTAAGCAAGCCTGGTTAGTAAATCAACACAAAACAGAAAGAATCCCTTCAGAGTAAAAGAAATGGAATTACTATGTTTCCTCCCAATTTTCTCATGGAAAATTTCCCATTTACTTGACATAAACAGGGAAAATCCTAAACATACATGCTAGAAAAACAGATCCTACATTTGAGTGTGGCACATAATTATGCCCAAAGAATATCATTCTCTTGAACTACTAGTCTCCATTATGTATAGGAGCATAATATATATAATATCATGTAGCATAATATATATATTTAACATTTATAATGCAAGGCTCACCACAGTAAGGATAGTCACCATATCCGTCACCATAAAACATTATTACAATATTACTGGCTATATTTCCTATGCTATACTTTTTATCCTCGTGCCTTATATTATAACAGGATGTTTATATCTGTGAATGTTCTTCACCTATTCACCCTATTATTTCTTTAATTGAAAGGATTTTTTAGATAATACATGTGTTAAGAAGATAGTCGGTGCCAAACCTTTTTTTATGATTTTTTCTCTTGCTATTGTTTTTCTTCATTGATTATAAAAACAATGCATACTCATTTTGTATATTTTGAAAAAATTTATAAAGAAAATGAAAGTCTCTTCATAATCCTACCATCTTGAGATACAATCCCTGCTAACAAGGAAACAAACATCTTTAATGAATATTTTTATAAAGTTTTATATATTTGAAATAATATTTATGCTTTTTGTACCATTTTAACTTAAGATTATATCATAAGCATCTTTTATGTTTTAGGTTTTTGAAATATAATATTAAGCCGCTATATAATAGTCTATCACATGGACATTTCATAAATTTTTTTCTTCATTTTTTTATCGTGGTAAAAACAGGTACCATAAGATGTTACATTTTAACCATTTTTAAGTTCAGTGGTATTAATTACATTTACACTGTTGTTTGCATACAAATTTTTTTTTTATAATTTTATTTTTTATAAACATATATATATATATATTTTTCCCCCAGGGGTACAGGTCTGTGAATCTCCACGTTTACAAACTTCACAGCACTCACCATAGCACATACCCTACCCAATGTCCATAACCCCCCCCAACCCCCCTCTGCCCAGCAACCCTCAGTTTGTTTTGTGAGATTAAGAGTCACTTATGGTTTGTCTCCCTCCCAATCCCAACTTGTTTCATTTACTCTTCTCCTACCACATTAACCCCCCATGTTGCATCTCCTCTCCCTCATATCAGGGAGATCATATGATAGTTGTCTTTCTCCGATTGACTTATTTCGCTAAGCATGATACCCTCTAGTTCCATCCATGTTGTCGCAAATGGCAAGATTTCATTTCTTTTGATGGCTGCATAGTATTCCATTGTATATATATACCACATCTTCTTTATCCATTCGTCTGTTGATAGACATCTAGGTTCTTTCCATAGTTTGGCTATTGTAGACATTGCTGCTATAAACATTCGGGTGCACGT